CTCAAAGTTACAAGGGGGGAACAAATTATGGCAGGTAGCCTGCCGTAATTTGTTCCCCCTGTCTAAATCAGGCAAAAAGGGTCCCAGCTTTTTCATTTTTGGCTTATAAGCATCTTTTATGATGACAACTAACCCCTGAAACTTTGGAGTTCATTGACCTTTATTTCTTAAAGTTACAAGGGGGGAACAAATTACGGCAGGCCACCTGCCGTAATCTGTTCCCCCTGTCTAAATCAGGCAAAAAAGAGCCCCAGCTTTTTCATTTTTGGCTTATAAGCATCTTTTATTATGACAACTAACCCCTGAAACTTTGGGGGTGATTGACCGTTTTATTTCATCCCATATAGCCAGAACCAGCAATATGGGATGAAATAAAACCTGCCGTAATCTGTTCCCCCTGTCTAAATCAGGCAAAAAAGGCCCCAGCTTTTTCATTTTTGGCTTATAAACATATTTTATGATGACAACTAACCCCTGAAACTTTGGAGTTGATTGACCTTTATTTCTCAAAGTTACAAGGGGGGAACAAATTATGGCAGGCTACCTGCCGTAATTTGTTCCCACTGTCTAAATCAGGCAAAAAGGGTCCCAGCTTTTTCATTTTTGGCTTATAAGCATCTTTTATGATGACAACTAACCCCTGAAACTTTGGGGGTGATTGACCTTTATTTCTTAAAGTTACAAGGGGGGAGCAAATTATGGCAGGCTACCTGCCGTAATCTGTTCCCCCTGTCTAAATCAGGCAAAAAAGAGCCCCAGCTTTTTCATTTTTGGCTTATAAGCATCTTTTATGATGACAACTAATCCCTGAAACTTTGGGGGTGATTGACCGTTTTATTTCATCCTATATAGCCAGAACCAGCAATATGGGATGAAATAAAACCTGCCGTAATCTGTTCCCCCTGTCTAAATCAGGCAAAAAAGAGCCCCAGCTTTTTCATTTTTGGCTTATAAGCATCTTTTATGATGACAACTAACCCCTGAAACTTTGGGGGTGATTGACCTTTATTTCTTAAAGTTACAAGGGGGGAACTAATTATGGCAGGCTACCTGCCGTAATCTGTTCCCCCTGTCTAAATCAGGCAAAAAAGAGCCCCAGCTTTTTCATTTTTGGCCTATAAGCATCTTTTATGATGACAACTAATCCCTGAAACTTTGGGGGTGATTGACCGTTTTATTTCATCCCATATAGCCAGAACCAGCAATATGGGATGAAATAAAACCTGCCGTAATCTGTTCCCCCTGTCTAAATCAGGCAAAAAAGAGCCCCAGCTTTTTCATTTTTGGCTTATAAGCATCTTTTATGATGACAACTAACCCCTGAAACTTTGGGGGTGATTGACCTTTATTTCTTAAAGTTACAAGGGGGGAACAAATTATGGCAGGCTACCTGCCGTAATTTGTTCCCCCTGTCTAAATCAGGCAAAAAAGAGCCCCAGCTTTTTCATTTTTGGCTTAGAAGCATCTTTTATGATGACAACTAATCCCTGAAACTTTGGGGGTGATTGACCGTTTTATTTCATCCCATATAGCCAGAACCAGCAATATGGGATGAAATAAAACCTGCCGTAATCTGTTCCCCCTGTCTAAATCAGGCAAAAAAGAGCCCCAGCTTTTTCATTTTTGGCTTATAAGCATCTTTTATGATGACAACTAACCCCTGAAACTTTGGGGGTGATTGACCTTTATTTCTTAAAGTTACAAGGGGGGAACAAATTATGGCAGGCTACCTGCCGTAATCTGTTCCCCCTGTCTAAATCAGGCAAAAAAGAGCCCCAGCTTTTTCATTTTTGGCTTATAAGCATCTTTTATGATGACAACTAATCCCTGAAACTTTGGGGGTGATTGACCGTTTTATTTCATCCCATATAGCCAGAACCAGCAATATGGGATGAAATAAAACCTGCCGTAATCTGTTCCCCCTGTCTAAATCAGGCAAAAAAGAGCCCCAGCTTTTTCATTTTTGGCTTATAAGCATCTTTTATGATGACAACTAACCCCTGAAACTTTGGGGGTGATTGACCTTTATTTCTTAAAGTTACAAGGGGGGAACAAATTATGGCAGGCTACCTGCCGTAATCTGTTCCCCCTGTCTAAATCAGGCAAAAAAGAGCCCCAGCTTTTTCATTTTTGGCTTATAAGCATCTTTTATGATGACAACTAATCCCTGAAACTTTGGGGGTGATTGACCGTTTTATTTCATCCCATATAGCCAGAACCAGCAATATGGGATGAAATAAAACCTGCCGTAATCTGTTCCCCCTGTCTAAATCAGGCAAAAAAGGCCCCAGCTTTTTCATTTTTGGCTTATAAACATATTTTATGATGACAACTAACCCCTGAAACTTTGGGGGTGATTGACCTTTATTTCTTAAAATTACAAGGGGGGAACAAATTATGGCAGGCTACCTGCCGTAATTTGTTCCCCCTGTCTAAATCAGGCAAAAAGGGTCCCAGCTTTTTCATTTTTGGCTTATAAACATCTTTTATTATGACAACTAACCCCTGAAACTTTGGAGTTGATTGACCTTTATTTCTTAAAGCTACAAGGGGGGAACAAATTACGGCAGGCTACCTGCCGTAATTTGTTCCCCCTGTCTAAATCAGGCAAAAAAGGCCCCAGCTTTTTCATTTTTGGCTTATAAACATATTTTATGATGACAACTAACCCCTGAAACTTTGGGGGTGATTGACCTTTATTTCTTAAAGTTACAAGGGGGGAACAAATTATAGCAGGCCATCTGCCGTAATCTGTTCCCCCTGTCTAAATCAGGCAAATCAGATATCATTTTCAATATATATATCTTAATGTATTTCATTGACTTCAGACGTCATGCAATAGAAATTTATCTGAATGTCTAAAAACTCAACCTGCACAGAAATAACGGAGAAATCAAAATTAATTATATCAAGTAGTTTTAGTAATAATAAAGTGTGTGGGTTCAAATGACCGGCAATATAAACTTAGGATCCAAACACTACACAAACGCACCATGACCTCCTCATGACCCCGAAATACGAAAAGTCAGAAATACATCAACGTAGGAAGGATTATCCATACCTTTATCTGCTCAAAACAGAAACCGCTAAAATTACTTTATTACGTCTTAGTAATACTGAAAAAAGTGCATTAATGGATAAAGAGGAATACAAACGCGTGGTAGCCTATAAATTAAAAGGGGAATATCCACCTTCTTTTACCAAGAAAGAAAAATTTCTTCTTCGAAGGCAAGCGTCACTGTACGACATTGAAGGTAAGCTATAAAAGTTTTCACTACCTGTGTTAAAAAAATAATAAGAAAACAAATAACAATTAAGTTTTACGCATTGAGAGACGTGGTGATTATTTTCCACCTTACGCTTCTAGGGAAGCATTGGAGTAATAACTCATTAGTCCGTATCTTAATTAATTTAACTCTTTTCGCAAAGAAGGTGAGGGGCCTCATAAATGGCATCTACAAAAAGTGTTTTCTATTCATATAAGGTTATAATAAATATAAGACATTGTATGTAATGTATTGTTTTATTTTGTCTTTAGGGGGCCAGCTGGTGTACTGGCGTCACAAAGGCAGGGCTAGGTCCGTCAAAACCAAGGTGGTGTGTGGAACAGAAGAGGCAAACTTGATTTTCACATATTTTCATGCCAGCCCCACTGGAGCGCATTGTGGACAAAGAAAAACTGTCGAAGCCATTTCTAAGCGGTTCTACTGGCCTGGGATGTCAGTAGATATCATTAAATGGGTGGGTGAAAATAAGAGACCCATTTCATAAAATTACGACAATTAAACTCTGATTTGTTTTAATGTGCAGAATGCATGACACTGTTTTCTTATAAATTCTAAATTTGAAAGGGTTGCTTATTAACTTAATTTTTTGAATTTTCCTCCAATTTAGGTTTCAGAGTGCACAGCTTGTCAGACACATGCAAATACAATAAAAAAAAACCTTCTGAAATCATTCCAATAAAGGTGAGTCATTTTTACCTGAGATCTCAATAATCTCCAGGAAAAAATTTACATATGATTATGTGTAGTCCAATTGATTACTGCAACACCTTGCAATGTTAATGTTTTCTTTTTTGTCTGGCTTTCTTTGTCCTCCTATTCTCTTGTAAGTGTTGTGCAATGATGTACATCTGCAACGTTCTTCCTTTGCAGAGTAACCATTTTAGTTCACTTTCACACAAAAAAACCAACAACAACAAATTGTTGATAATTGTATTTAATATTAATTTAATTATGCTGAACCCATTATTTCTGTCACAATTATTTTGCATCTCCTTGTTTTTAAGGTTTCTCAACCGTTTGAACTAGTTGGGATGGATCTGATTGGAAAATTAACAGAAACCAAAAACGGAAATCAATATCTCTGCGTCTTCATTGATTACTTCACCAAATGGCCACAAGCTTACCCGTTGAAGACAAAATCTGCCATTGAAGTGACCACCTGTTTAATCAAATTTGTGTATCAGTTTGAATGTCCAAAACGGATTCTCACTGACCAGGAAAGAGAATTTGTCAATTCGGTAAGTACCTCACATGATATTATTCCTGGACGCTGACTTATACCATTTCTATTAATTAAGTTTTTTGCAAAGTCATGGAAACAATTTCCCAATGGTATTGCACTGGAAAAAAAAAATCAGAATTTCATCTAAGATTGTTCTTTTTCATGATGTAAGTTTTTGGTTAATGGCAGGACTTTCCATGTGAAACAAACTCTTGGCGTACAAAAGTAGCACATTCAGTTGAATATACCAGAGTTCTGATAATTCGAACAATGTCATTATGTTTCTCCACTGTTCAGTTTATACAATACTATACAGATCATTACTGTGGGAATGATGACCTCTTTATATTTAATTTATTAACCCCTGTGTATGGTTTCCTTCATATTGAAATGTACTACACTCAAGTTGTTTAATTTGTTTGTGCAGCTGAACAAAAACATCTGTGAAATGCTACACATTCAAAGAAGCCCGTGTTCACCATACCATCCGCAAACAAATGGCTTGGTGGAGCGGATGAACGGCACAATTCAGAGGTAACAATTTATATTTATACCCTCACACTATGAATGTTACAGCTATTAATACAAATGGATAAAGACATATACATTAGAATTTCACAAAAGCATAATCAAACAATCAATCCCTGTGCATGTGGGTACAAACATTTATTGTACCACTGCTTTCCTCAGCAGAAAAGACATAATATTAAACTTAATTTGGGCCTTGAGAGCATGAACTACCAATGCAGCTTTCAGCTCCTGGGCTCAAGGCCATGATTTCAATTGACCTAAAAACATGCATGTTTTTTGTTTATCATTGCCATTATGTAGGCATTGTTTGTATATAAAGATGCTTTGTTTTTATTGTTTATTAGTCCTTTACATTCATTTTGTTCTCTAAGTTATTTATCTTGAGTGGCAACAACCTGTTTTTGTTGTGTTGGCAACAGTTTAAGGTGGTCAGAACATCATACTGGTGAAAGTTTTTTAAATGAAACGTCCCAAAATTCAAACAAGCCATGACTACACAGGGCTTATATTGTTTATGTAGAATTCTAAAGAATTCTAATGCAAAAAAATTGAAGACTGCATTGTAATGTTTAGTCATCCTGGTAGCAAACTCATAATACAGATCAACATTGTCTTTGTTCCTGGTGCTTCTCCTGTTCTGGTAAAAAAAAAACAAAAAAAAAACATATGCCCAACCCCGATTAATGATGGTCCTACACCACTTCATATACTTAAAGGAAATAGACCCTCGAACAATAAATAAATGAGATAAAGAAACCACCCAAAAACTAAAATTATTCACCTAAAAATAAAGCGAGTTAATGACCTCAAAATAATCTGGTATGGTTATTGTGGGTAAGAAGGGGGGCTTTGATGAACCCATTCTTTCCATCATTTCAACATCCACAACACACAATATATGTCTTCTTCTTTTTCAAATTTTGTCACTTTTGCTTCTCCATAAAACTAGGTTGTCTTTCATTCAACGTCTTCACTACATGACCAAATAGATCATGCTAATTAATGTTTGTGTTTCTTCATGCTGTCAGAGCCCTCTGTAAAGTTGTAGGGGACAATCCGGACACCTGGGATGAGTATATTGACGCCATCATGTTTGGAATTAGAACAAAAAAACAGATGACCACCAAATACTCTCCTTTCTTCATGATGTTTGGCAGAGAGGCTCGTTACCCATCACAAATTCCAGAGCAGTTAATGGTTGGTATAAGTTCTACCAGTTACAAAAACCATCATAATTACAAATAATGCTCTTTATTAAACTCAGTTTTACTTAAGAGCTATCAAGGAATTGACTTTAATTTTATCAATTTAGAAGTTTTTCTGTCTGTAATATGTTCTTTTATAAAATATTACAGTTGTAAGATTTGTTACAGCAAATTTGTTTCGTTGAATAGGTGGACAGCAGTGTGGAAAATCTTGTCGGACAAGAAGAGGTGGCACTTGACATTGAAAAACATGAACAGCTAATGGAAGTCATTCGGGACAATGTCAGCAAAGCACAAGACAAGATGAAGAAAATGATGAAAAGCAGAACAAGCGCTGAAACGCTTAAAGTTGGTGACAGCGTCTTGAGAGCCAACATAAGAAGCCAACAAAGAAAAGGAGGGAAGCTTGAGGCCAACTATCTGGGACCATTCATTGTAATATCAATCCAGGACAAGAGCGCAGACATTAAGGATTCAAATGGTGTCATATTCGAAAAAGTAAATGTAGATCATCTTAAACTGGTCAAAATCCCAACAGCAAGAGTGTCACACTGGGGTTTAAAAAAAAAGAGACAAAGTGCTACTCCCCCTGCTTCTCTGGCCGGTGCTTCTCCACCACACGCATCTTCTCCTGCCCCTGCATCCCCTCCACTGCTTTCATTTGCTGCCACTGCTGCACCTGCACCATCCCCATCTCCTCCACCATCCCCATTTGCTGACACTGCTGCACCATCCCCATCTCCTCCACCATCCCCATTTCCTCCACCATCCCCATTTGCTGACACTGCTGCACCATCCCCATCTCCTCCACCATCCCCATTTGCTGTCACTGCTGCACCATCCCCATCTCCTCCACCATCCCCATTTCCTCCACCATCCCCATTTGCTGCCACTGCTGCACCATCCCCATCTCCTCCACCATCCCCATTTGCTGCCACTGCTGCACCATCCCCATCTCCTCCACCATCCCCATTTGCTGCCACTGCTGCACCATCCCCATCTCCTCCACCATCCCCATTTGCTGCCACTGCTGCACCATCCCCATCTCCTCCACCATCCCCATTTGCTGCCACTGCTGCACCATCCCCATCTCCTCCACCATCCCCATTTGCTGCCACTGCTGCACCATCCCCATCTCATCCACCATCACCATTTGCTGACACTGCTGCACCTGCACCATCCCCATCTCCTCCGCCATCTCCATCTCTTCAACTATCGTCATCTCCTCCACCATCCTCATCTCCTTCACCCCCTGCATCTCCTCCACTACCCTCAGCTGCTGCCACCGCTGCTCCTCCACCATCCCCTTCTCCTCCACCCCGTGCATCTCTTCTACCATGCTCAGCTGCTGCCAACGATTCTCCTTCAAAATCTGAGTCTTTTCCAAAGTACAGCAAAGCAGATGCAGAAAAATGTATGAAGAAAAATTTCTGTCATTCTGGGAATATATTCTTCGTAGTTTGTCTTTAACTTTTTGGTGTAATTTAAATAATAATAGTTATATTTTTGAACAAATGTAAATGAAAATTTACAGCTAATGTTTAAATTTTAGTTTTCTATGTAGATGCATAGGTAACACTTTGTTTTACAGTACACCAAAAAGCATGTAATAACAGGTTAGTCACACTATATTACTAGGTAACAATAAAAAACTTTATCTGGTAATTACCCCAAATTAATGTATATAATATCAAAGTAATTGCCTGCATGTTTCATTGCTATGTAACAATGAAGACTTTTGCTGGGTAATTACCATAAGGTTGTAGTTAACATAATATTTCTATTATTGCCCACCACCTACCAATGGCTTGCAAAGTAAGTTTTAACCTATGATCAGGTAAATAAAGCATTATATAACTCAACTGAAGTTACATATAAATAAGATAGGTAAGAAAATTGGCATGCCGTATTCTAGGTATCATTTTCTGTTATATTTCAAGTAATAAACTGCATATAACTGGATAAAAACACATTCATTTATTTTTGTTAGGGAAATGAATGCGTTAGCTGGTAATAACGGATTGACATTTAAGAAGTCTGACTTTTTCTTGTCTGCCTAGAACTTAAAGCACAGCACAAAATTATGCATAAAGTTTATAGTGTAATTTGCTATGCTATTACCATGTTATTAAATGGTTAGACAGAATGGTAGTTGTACTGTAAAACGAAGCGTTACTGACATATATCAGGGGAACTAAATCCTTTGCACCTTAACTGATTAGATCTATTGAAGTCACAATGGGAAGTGTAACAGATTAGTTATAAATGTATAACTGTTCATGTATAACAATCTTAATGTGTCACCATTTCTCTGTTATCCAGATGTACTTGAGGCATGGGGTGGAAAAACATGCAACGTGTTACTCTCAAAGATCAGTGCCTATAAGCTCTTTTACTGGGACATAAAGCAACTTGGTCCAGACATGGAGTTGGAAAGCGAGGTATTGCAAAATGGAAAGTTTAATTTCAAACTTAAAAAACATATGTTTTTTTTATTCTGTGAATGGCTGACTAATGTGCTTTTTTATTTATGAACAGTCAATCAACGCTTATCTTCACCTCCTTATAAATGACTACAATTGTGCAGAAACTACAAAATCAACTTTCATTGACACGTTTGCAATGACATCCATATGGAATGGGAAGATTCCGCGACTCAAGGTTTGTGTAGTAATAGAGAAAATTATGTAAATTCAACTTTTCACAACATGTAAATGATGTGAAGAAAAACTGTTATTGCTAAAGCTGCAACCTTGTCCTCAGAGAATCATGTAAATGCTTCAACGGTGACAGTGAATTACTTGAATGTGTTGAACACATTATATAATGTCAAAAATATTTGGTTAGAAGCTATCTGGTTCTGTGGAGGACTCAAGAGCAGAGACACAGGGTAGAGATGGTGTCTTGTAGGTGAGAAGAGTATAAAGCACAGAGGAACCGCAAAGGCGGAGAATATATGGGATAACAGGTGTTATCAGGTAATTATGAGCCAGTGTGTTTAGAAAAAGCTAAGAAGGATCTAAGAGGAAATAACTGGCACTAGGAGCAACAAACTGCAAACAGGGAAAACAGGGTTCAAGTAAAGCTAGAAAGTAACATAAGGATAAATGTGAATTAAAATAATGACTACAAAGTAAGGAATGACCAAGTGAAAAACTAGAGGATAAAAAAGGAACTCTAGATAACTGAAGCCATGAAAAATAAAACCTAATCATAACAGAATAAATAACTAACAAACTATAGCAATGAGTAAATAATACCAATAATGCAAAAAAAAAAGATTAGACGGAAGATAAAAACGAATGTTTTAAGAAATAATATACATTTTCACCACAACACAGAGCAAAATAAATAAAAGCACAACTGAGAAATGAAACCTTAAACAAGTTACAGAAGCTTTGTTCAAAAGACCTGTATTATTAATCATAGGCTGACATGACATGGGAAAACTTTATCATTTGAATAATCAAGTAGAAACGACTTAATCTGTTTATCCAAACACACGTTTTTTAGATAACTGCTGCCTTGACCCAGAGCTTCCGAAATCTTTCAAATAAATACTAAACAGGATTTAGCACTTATCATTTGGATTAGTAAAAATATATATATATTTTTTATCTTTGTTTTGGTTTGTTTTTCTATTCATGTATTGGGTATATGTTTCATCGCTGTTATAATGAAGTTACTAACATGTTGTCTCCAGGTGGACTTGTGACACAGTGATGCATCCCAAACAGACAGATGCCACATCATGTGGACTCTTCACCTTGAAGGCAGGCATCCAAATATGCAAAATACATAGTTATGTACAAAAAGACATATCTGTGTAATTGAAAAGATTAATATATGTAACTTATAATATCTAGATTAGTTTCAAGCTGCTTCGCCTATTAGCAATGTACAATATAATGTCTGTAAAGACATTTAAAATGTATTTTCTAAAAAAAAAAATCTAATGTCTTTTTACAGTTTGCTGAGAAAATCCTGAGAAAAGGAAAGATTTCTTTTCCGACAACTAAAAAAGAAATAAACAAGCACAGGATGAAAATTGCGACCACTCTCCTTCTCAGCACAGGTATGTATTCAATTACCTTTGGATTGTCTTACATGATTAGTATCTTGCTTTTAACTATTGGAAACATTAACATTGTATTATTTGATGTGATATTGTCAAAAAAAATTGAGGCTCATTGCATATTTTGGTATGTCTTACAGATGACCTGAGCAACCTCTGTCACTTTTGTGGCGAGAAAAACACGGACACTGAAGACATCTGGGTATTTGACAATATTGCCAGGTGCTTTTAAGAATTCCCTTCTTTCTATGCTGATTTCTTTCTCTATTTTTAACAGATTCAGTGTGACGACTGCTTCAGATGGTACATCCTTCAATGTGTTGGAAACCCAGATCCCCAAGAGGATTACGTGTGCTTTGCATGTCAATAGTTTTGTTAAGTTGTTTCTATTATTCTGTTTCTATCTTGTAATAAAAAAAATTATTTTTTTATTGAGAAGTTATAAGCAAAACCTTGAATTTAATTTTTTTGCAACTATTTGTTATTACCCTAAAAGATTATGTTACAGGCTCCACACTTTACAATTACTTAAGCATGCAGTGAGTAGGTGCTGACAGCTTCATTTTACTTCAGTAACTATCATTAAGACACTTTTACATCTAAAAATCTCAGCTGGTAAAGCCTGTTCCCCATTGTAAATTAAGAAACATAGGTCAATCAACTCCAAAGTTTCAGGAGTTAGTTGTCATCATAAAATATGTTTATAAGCCAAAAATGAAAATGCTGGGGCATTTTTTGCCTGATTTTGACAGGGGGAACAGATTACGGCAGGTTTTATTTCATCCCATATTGCTGGTTCTGGCTATATGGGATGAAATAAAACGGTCAATCACCCCCAAAGTTTCAGGGGTTAGTTGTCATCAAAAAAGATGCTTATTAGCCAAAAATGAAAAAGCTGGGGCTTTTTTTGCCTGATTTAGACAGTGGGAACAAATTACGGCAGGTAGCCTGCCATAATTTGTTCCTCCCTTGTAACTTTGAGAAATAAAGGTCAATCAACTCCAAAGTTTCAGGGGTTAGTTGTCATCATAAAAGATGCTTATAAGCCAAAAATGGAAAAACTGGGACCTTTTTTGCCTGATTTAGACAGGGGGGAATAGGTTACGGCAGGTGGCCTGCCGTAATTTGTTCCCCCCTTGTAACTTTGAGAAATAAAGGTCAATCAACTCCAAAGTTTCAGGGGTTAGTTGTCATCATAAAATATGTTTATAAGCCAAAAATGAAAAAGCTGGGGCCTTTTTTGCCTGATTTAGACAGGGGGAACATATTACGGCAGGTTTTATTTCATCCCATATTGCTGGTTCTGGCTATATGGGATGAAATAAAACGGTCAATCACCCCCAAAGTTTCAGGGGTTAGTTGTCATAATAAAAGATGCTTATAAGCCAAAAATGAAAAAGCTGGGGCTCTTTTTTGCCTGATTTAGACAAGGGGAACAAATTACGGCAGGTAGCCTGCCATAATTTGTTCCCCCCTTGTAACTTTGAGAAATAAAGGTCAATCAACTCCAAAGTTTCAGGGGTTAGTTGTCATCATAAAATATGTTTATAAGCCAAAAATGAAAAAGCTGGGGCCTTTTTTGTCTGATTTAGACAGGGGGAACAGATTACGGCAGGTTTTATTTCATCCCATATTGCTGGTTCTTGCAATATGGGATGAAATAAAACGGTCAATCACCCCCAAAGTTTCAGGGGTTAGTTGTCATCATAAAAGATGCTTATAAGCCAAAAATGAAAAAGCTGGGACCTTTTTGCCTGATTTAGACAGGGGGGACAAATTACAGCAGGTAGCCTGCCATAATTTGTTCCCCCCTTGTAACTTTAAGAAATAAAGGTCAAGCAACTCCAAAGTTTCAGGGGTTAGTTGTCATCATAAAAGATGCTTATAAGCCAAAAATGAAAAAGCTGGGACCCTTTTTGCCTGATTTAGACAGGGGGAACAAATTACGGCAGGTAGCCTGCCATAATTTGTTCCCACCTTGTAACTTTGAGAAATAAAGGTCAATCAACTCCAAAGTTTCAGGTATTAGTTGTCATCATAAAAGATGCTTATAAGCCAAAAATGGAAAAACTGGGACCTTTTTTGCCTGATTTAGACAGGGGGAACAGATTACAGCAGGTTTTATTTCATCCCATATTGCTGGTTCTGGCTATATGGGATGAAATAAAACGGTCAATCACCCCCAAAGTTTCAGGGGTTAGTTGTCATCAAAAAAGATGCTTATTAGCCAAAAATGAAAAAGCTGGGGCTTTTTTTGCCTGATTTAGACAGTGGGAACAAATTACGGCAGGTAGCCTGCCATAATTTGTTCCTCCCTTGTAACTTTGAGAAATAAAGGTCAATCAACTCCAAAGTTTCAGGGGTTAGTTGTCATCATAAAAGATGCTTATAAGCCAAAAATGGAAAAACTGGGACCTTTTTTGCCTGATTTAGACAGGGGGGAATAGGTTACGGCAGGTGGCCTGCCGTAATTTGTTCCCCCCTTGTAACTTTGAGAAATAAAGGTCAATCAACTCCAAAGTTTCAGGGGTTAGTTGTCATCATAAAATATGTTTATAAGCCAAAAATGAAAAAGCTGGGGCCTTTTTTGCCTGATTTAGACAGGGGGAACATATTACGGCAGGTTTTATTTCATCCCATATTGCTGGTTCTGGCTATATGGGATGAAATAAAACGGTCAATCACCCCCAAAGTTTCAGGGGTTAGTTGTCATAATAAAAGATGCTTATAAGCCAAAAATGAAAAAGCTGGGGCTCCTTTTTGCCTGATTTAGACAGGGGGGACAAATTACAGCAGGTAGCCTGCCATAATTTGTTCCCCCCTTGTAACTTTAAGAAATAAAGGTCAAGCAACTCCAAAGTTTCAGGGGTTAGTTGTCATCATAAAAGATGCTTATAAGCCAAAAATGAAAAAGCTGGGACCCTTTTTGCCTGATTTAGACAGGGGGAACAAATTACGGCAGGTAGCCTGCCATAATTTGTTCCCACCTTGTAACTTTGAGAAATAAAGGTCAATCAACTCCAAAGTTTCAGGTATTAGTTGTCATCATAAAAGATGCTTATAAGCCAAAAATGGAAAAACTGGGACCTTTTTTGCCTGATTTAGACAGGGGGAACAGATTACAGCAGGTTTTATTTCATCCCATATTGCTGGTTCTGGCTATATGGGATGAAATAAAACGGTCAATCACCCCCAAAGTTTCAGGGGTTAGTTGTCATCAAAAAAGATGCTTATTAGCCAAAAATGAAAAAGCTGGGGCTTTTTTTGCCTGATTTAGACAGTGGGAACAAATTACGGCAGGTAGCCTGCCATAATTTGTTCCTCCCTTGTAACTTTGAGAAATAAAGGTCAATCAACTCCAAAGTTTCAGGGGTTAGTTGTCATCATAAAAGATGCTTATAAGCCAAAAATGGAAAAACTGGGACCTTTTTTGCCTGATTTAGACAGGGGGGAATAGGTTACGGCAGGTGGCCTGCCGTAATTTGTTCCCCCCTTGTAACTTTGAGAAATAAAGGTCAATCAACTCCAAAGTTTCAGGGGTTAGTTGTCATCATAAAATATGTTTATAAGCCAAAAATGAAAAAGCTGGGGCCTTTTTTGCCTGATTTAGACAGGGGGAACATATTACGGCAGGTTTTATTTCATCCCATATTGCTGGTTCTGGCTATATGGGATGAAATAAAACGGTCAATCACCCCCAAAGTTTCAGGGGTTAGTTGTCATAATAAAAGATGCTTATAAGCCAAAAATGAAAAAGCTGGGGCTCTTTTTTGCCTGATTTAGACAGGGGGAACAAATTACGGCAGGTAGCCTGCCATAATTTGTTCCCCCCTTGTAACTTTGAGAAATAAAGGTCAATCAACTCCAAAGTTTCAGGGGTTAGTTGTCATCATAAAATATGTTTATAAGCCAAAAATGAAAAAGCTGGGGCCTTTTTTGTCTGATTTAGACAGGGGGAACAGATTACGGCAGGTTTTATTTCATCCCATATTGCTGGTTCTTGCAATATGGGATGAAATAAAACGGTCAATCACCCCCAAAGTTTCAGGGGTTAGTTGTCATCATAAAAGATGCTTATAAGCCAAAAATGAAAAAGCTGGGACCCTTTTTGCCTGATTTAGACAGGGGGGACAAATTACAGCAGGTAGCCTGCCATAATTTGTTCCCCCCTTGTAACTTTAAGAAATAAAGGTCTAGCAACTCCAAAGTTTCAGGGGTTAGTTGTCATCATAAAAGATGCTTATAAGCCAAAAATGAAAAAGCTGGGACCCTTTTTGCCTGATTTAGACAGGGGGAACAAATTACGGCAGGTAGCCTGCCATAATTTGTTCCCACCTTGTAACTTTGAGAAATAAAGGTCAATCAACTCCAAAGTTTCAGGTATTAGTTGTCATCATAAAAGATGCTTATAAGCCAAAAATGGAAAAACTGGGACCTTTTTTGCCTGATTTAGACAGGGGGAACAGATTACAGCAGGTTTTATTTCATCCCATATTGCTGGTTCTGGCTATATGGGATGAAATAAAACGGTCAATCACCCTCAAAGTTTAAGGGGTTAGTTGTCATCATAAAAGATGCTTATAAGCCAAAAATGGAAAAACTGGGACCTTTTTTACCTGATTTAGACAGGGGGAACAGATTACAGCAGGTTTTATTTCATCCCATATTGCTGGTTCTGGCAATATGGGATGAAATAAAACGGCTGATGTTAGAAGACAAACTGTTTATTAAGGAACATAGATAAATTGTACGTTACTATAAACACAAATATAGGTTTAAGTACTAAATTTCAACCAGGAAAAAATTATTTTCCTTCTGCATATAGTCTTTAATGATTACACGTGCACTCCATTTTCTATTTCATTTTTATTACAAGTATATAGTTTACAACAGTTTTCAATGGGATGAGAACATTTGGACACTGTGAAACAATGAGAGATATTTTTTAATGAACGTGAGGAAAAGAACAGGGATCTGTTTGCTTTCAGAGGGAGGAGTAGACACTGCAATCAGCGACCAGCTTTCAAGCAAACGTTTGTGTTTTATTATTAGTTTTAAATCAATATCACTGGCGATATTCTGCTATAGCATGTGAAGTAAAGAATAAAACAGTAAAGCTCAACTTTCATACACATAAAACCTTTCAAATTTGAAGTTCTGCACGTTGGAATCGAGGCGGAGTTAACACGGGTTGTTCTTTCTACTCCGTGCGCGCTCCCGACGAGGGGATACAAATTTTGGCAGGGATAACTACCTTGGCACGACACCGGCGTCCTCCAAGGGCCCTCCTTCGTCCGAGACGGCGTCGCCGCCAGCGTCCTCCAGAGACCCTCCATCAGAGACGGCGTCCAGAGCTGCTGCCTCGCCTCCGGCCCCGCGGCCGGCCTCCAGCGCTGCTGCCTCGCCTTCGGCCCCGCGGCCGGCCTCCATAGCTTCTGCCTCGCCTTCGGCCCCGCGGCCGGCCTCCAGAGCTTCTGCCTAGCCTTCGGCCCCGCGGCCGGCCTCCAGAGCTTCTGCCTCGCCTTCGGCCCCGTGGCCGGCCTCCAGAGCTTCTGCCTAGCCTTCGGCCCCGCGGCCGGCCTCCAGAGCTTCTGCCTCGCCTCTGGCCCCGCGGCCGGCCTCCTGAGACTTTGATTCTCCTCCGCCCACCCTGGGTGGGTTGTTTTGTTTTTTTGGACATTTTAGGGCGTCTGGGATCCGCCCCTAAGTGGGGGGTACTGTCATGGTCTTGTTCTGCTGTTCTTTACTTTGCTCCTTGTTTTCTAGTTTTATTGGTTTAATCCCTATTTTGTTGTAATTTCTAGATTTATGTTAGTGCTCATGTTTTTCTGTTGTTCTCTGTTGCCCTCTTTTGTGTGTGTGTGTGTTCCTTTCCCCTTGGCTCCCTCGTTGTCTCCTCACACCTGCTCCTTGTCAGCTCGTTAGCCCTCCCTTTGTCTCTGTCAGCCATTGATGCTCTCCCTCTGCTCTCACTCTTTGTTGGTTCCTCTGTTGTTGCTGGTCCTGTCATCGCTGCAATCGTCTCCCCTCGTCTCTCCCTGGGTCCTTCTACGTGTTTTCCCTTGATGTCTCCATGGTTCTGATCTGTTACATTTTAGTTGGATTTTTGGACTGCCTTTGTTAACCATTTTTTCATTAAAACTACAAGTATTCACCTCAGCCTCTCTGCCTCTGCATTTGGGTCCTCCAAACCACTACCAAACCCTGACATAGTCTGGGTCGATAAAGCTAAGGATTTTACAACATTGCATAATGATGTGAGGTTTTATACCCATCTGAACCATTGTATTTAGAACCATATAATAGTCAAAAGATCTACCGTTGTGCGCCAAAAAGACAAATTTTTAAAACTTTGGTCTTCGAAAGTGGAGAATAAAATCTTGAATGCATTTCAGACCAAAGGAGGACCATTCTTTTCCTGATGAATCTTTTGCACAGACGAGGAAAGGAACATGAATCATTTACTCATTAACAAAGTGTCTGGTTGTGCTGCATTTTGATTTTCGCTTGAATGAGAAACATTCGGGGATGTGTTCGACCGAGATAAAGGGGGGTCAGACATGTTTATTCACTACTCTTTTTTTCATCCAAAAAAGTCCCTACATATTAAAAATGTGTTCACCAAAGTAGATAAACGATATCGGGGGTCTTGGTCTTGATTGTAGGGTGAAGACAGAAACTCGGAGACAGCCGCCAATGTGTGAAAAGCCAGGCGCCTGCTATCATCTTCTCTGTTGGGAGGTGCAGAAGCGATGCCTTCCCTTCGATTTAGGCCCAATAAAATGTTTCTGGGGTTTCTGCACCGTCTCCTTCGATTTCCTACTGAGGAAAAAAAATAGCATTTTGGTAAGATTGACTAAATCTTCTAAAAACAAAACTAAATCCTAAAAAAAAAAAAGGATATTTACTTTTATTTCTCCGTCTCATAGGAGGCTGGGCTCTTAGTCTGTTCCTTAGAGCAAGAGGGGGTGTGTCTAAGAGGTAAAAAAAACAATATATGATAATATGTTATTAAAAACTAAGAATCTTTTTTTTTTCTTACCTCTTTGAGTTTTAAAAGTTGACGGGTCAGATCTTTCAATTGGAATTGATCTGTCTGTGAGGAAGAAAAAAATAAAAGTTATAAATTTTTAGCTTGTGTATATATATATATATATATATATATATTTTTTTTTTTTAGGGGTGGAACGGTTCACAAAATCCACAGTTCGGTTCGGTTCACGGTTTTCGGTTCGGTATATGTTGATTGTTACACCGAAAAATAAATTTTTTTTTTAAAAGTTATAAAAATTAAATTAATGAAAAAAATCCTAAAAAAATTAATGAATTGTAATTATTTTTAATGATCCGCGGAAACCCTGGATCATTTCCGCATGTTTTGCTGCTTTGAATTTAATCATCTCAAGCATGCCCTCTACCATCTCCAAGGAACTCAGAGCGGATCGGACGGGAGCCACAGCAGAGGCTGTAGGCTTTGCTTTGAGCAGCCGGTCTGGAGCACAGCGGGGCGGAGCGGAGCGCTGACGGAGTATGAGGGATTTTGGGGTTAGCATGACATGTTGTTCATGTTGCTGTTAGCATAAACAAAACGTGTTGCACAATGCTTTCACACTGTTGCACTTTTATCCACAACTTTCTTTCCGCCGTCATCGTAGGTCACTCTAAATGCAAAGTGGTCCCATACACCAGACCTATAAAGTGCTGCTCGTGCATCTTCCAACTCCTGTTCTTTCCCACTCGCCATTCCGACACAATTCTCCACAACAACTGATTTTTTTTCTGCTACACCCGGCTAAGCTGCTTCGCTTCTTCTTCTTGTTTACTACTGGTGGTTGGCTTTGGTCGCAGTACCGCCACCTTCTGCTCTGGAGTGTAAACGCTTCGCCTATGAGAAAAGGAGCAGCGCCTGAACCGAACGCAACACAGGCGAACCGAACCGAGACAGTCGAACCGAACGGTTCGGACGGTTTTCAAAAACCATTCCATCCCTAATATATATATATATATTTAATTTAATTTATAAATTCAGGACACAGGACTAAGATAAAAAAGTAAATTTTTTTAAGCTTACCCGCTCTCTCTATACTCGCAGTATTTTCATTTTGTTGACTTTCTCCAACACTTCTTGCTTCCACTATAATTTCATCCTGGACAACAGCTTCCGTCACGTCCGGTTCCGCGCTGTGTTGGACCCCCCGCTCGGTTTCTGCTCCTGCTTCCTCTTCCTCATAGTAGCTGCTAGAATCACTTCCATCATCTTCCTGTTGAGCGTTATCACCGCCATCATCCAAACTATCATCATCATCATCATCACCACCTCCGAGGTCTTGATCTACAAATAAACAAAACGACATTGCAATTTTGATCCCTTCACTGAAGAGTGATTTCCAAACTACAGTCTCATTCCAGAGCATGATCAAATAAGGCAACCAATGAATGAAATATATGATTATATGCTATTAAAAACTAAGAATCTTTTTTTTTTTTCTTACCTCTTTGAGTTTTAAAAGTTGACGGGTCAGATCTTTCAATTGGGATTGATCTGTCTGTGGGGAAGAAAAAAAAAAAAGTTATACATTTTTAGCTTGTATACATTTTTAGCTTGTATATATATATATATATATATATATATATATATATTTATATTTAATTTAATTCATAAATTCAGGACACAGGACTAAGATAAAAAAGTAAATTTTTTAACCTTACCCGCTCTCTCTATACTCGCAGTATTTTTGTTTTGTTGATTTTCTCCACCACTTCTTGCTTCCACTATAATTTCATCCTGGACAACAGCTTCCGTCACGTCCGGTTCCGCGCTGTGTTGGACCCCTCGCTCCGGAGACTGGCGGATTTGAACAGCCTGATAGTTGGCTGTCAGTGGCTGGTGAGAGAGGACGCCCTGCTCGGATCTCTGCTGATGAGGTGAGAGAGCTGGTTGGCTGACGGGCCGAGAGCCGGGGGTCTGTAGAGTTGAACGGACGGTTGATGAAGGATCGGATGTAAGGAGAGGGGAAACATGATTGGGAGTCGGACCGCCTGGATGGTTAGCCGCAAGGGGAGCAGGAGAGCCGCCCCTCAGGTTGGTTAGGGATGTGAGGGGGGAGGGATGATTTGGAGTCCAGGGCCCAGGACCCCCGCTCCCTCCCTGGATGCTTCGGGGCGGATGTGGAACCGTGGGTTGTTGCGGTCTCTGTAGAGCCGCGGGATGGAGCGGGGTTCGTCTGTGCTGAGGTAAGCGCCTGCTCGCAGCGTCTTGTTCATCCTTCAGAGAAAAGTCCCCAAAACAAACAGCCGATTTATATTGAGAAAAAATGTTTGCTTGAGGAACAGGTTGTCTCTCTCTTCGGATATCGGAGCGGTTTTCAGCAGCTGTGATGGTCTCTGGGAAAAAAATAGAAAAGTTTGGTAAAGATTTTTTTTCTCCAACCTGTTTTCATTTTCTTCCTTATTAAAAGCCTTACCCAAATCAAGGTCTGACAGATGAAAATCATTGAGATTGGAATCTTGAAATAGATGAAAAAAAATTGAGCTTTTAAAATGTGAGAAAAAAGCAGATCTTGTAAAAGTTTTTAACTAAGACTATGGTGGGAATTAACAGGTTAACTTCAGCCACTGTGAAAATATCAAAAGCTGTCCTAGGAGGGTAAAGCTTGTGGATGTCGGTGTGCAGGCAGAGGATAAGCTGGGAAACTGTCATAAAAGTTGTATTTGTGACTAACACACTTTTTGAGTATAGCAAGATTTGTAAAACCTTGATGCACAGGCTTTAATGTTGAATTAAAGATTGGTCTTAACATGTTTCAAAGCTCTATTGATGACATTAAATTCTGTCATGATCTGGCCTGTTTGCTCTCCCTTAATTAGGCATTCCTTTCACCTGTCGTTTTTCCCTCCCTGCCTCAATTATAATTTATTCCTCTCACCTGTTTCCTGTTGGTTATATTCAGTTCAGCCTGAGTATTCAGTGCCAGATCATTACTTGTCTGTTAGTCTGTCTGTTCAGTTTTAGTTCATGGTTCATGTCCTGGATCCTAGCAGCCAGTGGAAAGAGGGTTTTTGTGTTTGTCACGTCTCCTGATCGTCCACTGTTCCTCCCCCGCGGAGTCCTCTGGGTTTTTGGCTCAATATGTGGGGAGGTTAAGTTTTTATCCAGTAAGCCTGGCTCCAGGGAGGAGACCAGTCTAAAGTCCTGCTTCAAGTTCCGGTTCCTACGTCCTGCTCGGCTACCGTCTTCCACTGAGCCTGCCTGTCTGCACCTGATCCTGTCTGCTCCTGTGTGTGACCACCTGGTCATGCTTCTGGACCCTGTCAGACTCTGAACCCGCCTGGAAGCCTGTGGATGCCTGGAAGTCTGGATCCTGTCACCTGTTTCTGTTCCTGCCTGATCTGGATCCTGCCACCTGTTTCTGTTCCTGCCTGATCTGGATCCTGCCACCTGTTTCTGTTCCTGTCTGTTCTGGATCCCTGACCAGGATCGGCTTCCAGCATCACCTCTGGGACTGCAGCACTTGGGGACATTCTTGGTCTGGACTGTTAAACCAGGTAAGTGACCAATTCAGATAATCATCTTCAGTCCGATGATCGTGGTCACTTACCTGTGTTTCTCCCACTACAGAGTGTCTGAGATTGGGCGGTGCCCCGCCCCCCCCCGCCTGCAGTGTCCGCGAGCCACAGCTCCGCTTTTGTTTTGTTTGTTTATTTAATAAACGCTTTGAACTTTCCTACTGACTGTCTCGCCTTGAATACTGGATCCATCTGTCCTCGGTTCATGACAAATTCATTTAGAAAAGTAAAAAGATGCTTGATAAAAAGATATCTGTAATTAAAATAAAATTTGTGAATGGAAAAAGGTTTAGATTAGTTTAAACACATTTTAAAACCCTCACTGGAGAACATTTGAGACCTCACTCACACTCAGAAGGTGGGTCTGTGTGTGGATGGGTGTGTGTGGATGGACTGTGGGAGGGAATTGTGCTTGTGTGGGAGGTGTCTTTTTTTATTACCCTGCAAAGGAGAAATGTGATTGAGAAGCTGGCATATTTTTTTTGAATGGGAAGAAAAACATTATTATACAAGGAAATTTAATTGATGAACCAAAATGTGATGGTGCGTGTTTGTGGGTCATAAACGGTCATAAGACAAACATTTCATAATATTCATAAACTGCAATTGCAAACATAATTGAACACTTCTCTATAGCAAACCTTGAGAAGTTGGTTAAAAATAGTTGTAGCAAAATATTTTGTGAAAGGAGCATAATTTTCTACCAAAACTCGTGTGGTCTCCTTCAGCTATTCCCACCTTTGCGGTCTTCCACTTTGATTTCAGCCTGGCCCTGCTGTTCTGTCCCCTGAGCCTCTTGCTGTCTGTCTTCAATGGGCCAATACTCATCTTCGGTTTTAATGTCTGAAAATTAATATTAAAAACATTTATAGAAGATCAATCAGGGTCTAAGAACTTATTTTTATAATACTACCAATTAGGGGGAAAAAAGCAAGAAGGAAATGTAATGCAAATGTCAGACTCAGTAGCTGTTAAACCATTATTTGATATTCTTTGAAACAAGTTAACAGTTAATATTCATAAACTGCAATCGAAAACATAATTGAACAGACTTCTCAAGTAAACCTTGAGAAGTTGGTAAAAAATAGATTTAGCAAAATATTTTGTGAAAGGAGCATAATTTTCTACCAAAACTACTTATTTTAAAGCTGCAAAGCTACAAAATAGTGAAAGGATGAAATGAGAAGCATCATCATGTGATTAACAGAACAAAGTTTAGGAGTCCGTTTAAATTTTTTTTTTTTTTTTATTAAACAAATCCATAAACATTTTTTCTGTTAAAAAGAAAAATAACCTACATGTATCAGTCGTTACTATGGAGTCGTCTACATTTTCTTCATCTTCAGCCGGAGGTTGTGGTGTACGAGATCTGCAGAGAAGAGTCTCAGATTATGGGCCTTGAACATCTCAGCATATTTATCTTATTAACTTTGGCTGAGCTTTGATTTGCTTACTTCTTCTCTTCACGGTGCTCATAGTAGCCATAGCTTCTGTTCTCCTCATGTGGTCTCTTTCGGCTATTCCCACCTTTGCGGTCTTCCACTTTGATTTCAGCCTGGCCCTGCTGTTCTGTCCCCTGAGCCTCTTGCTGTCTGTCTTCAACGGGCCAATACTCATCTTCGGTTTTAATGTCTGAAAATTAATGATAAAAACATTTATACACGATCACTCAGGGTCTAAGAACTTATTTTTATAATACTATCAATTAGGCGAAAAAAAACAAGAAGGAAATGTAATGCAAATGTCTGTTAAACCATTATTTGATATTCTTTAAAACAAGTTAACAGTTAATGTTCAAAAACTGCAACCGAAAACATAATTGAACAGACTTCTCTGAAGTAAACCTTGAGAAGTTGGTTAAAAATAGTTGTAGCAAAATATTTTGTGAAAGGAGCATAATTTTCTACCAAAACTACTTATCTTTTTAAAGCTGCAAAGCTACAAAATAGTGAAGGGACGAAATGAGAAGCATCATCATGTGATTAACAGAACAAAGTGTAGGAGTCTGTTTCAATTTAAAAAAATATTAAACAAATCCTCAAACATTTTTTCTGTTAAAAAGAAAAATAACCTACATGTGAGCTCCGCAGACTGGTGGATTTGAACAGCCTGATAGTTGGCTGTCAGTGGCTGGTGAGAGAGGACGCCCTGCTCGGATCTCTGCTGATGAGGTGAGAGAGCTGGTTGGCTGACGGGCCGAGAGCCGGGGGGCTGTAGAGTTGAACGGACGGTTGATGAAGGATCGGATGTAAGGAGAGGGGAAACATGATTGGGAGTCGGACCGCCTGGATGGTTAGCCGCAAGGGGAGCAGGAGAGCCGCCCCTCAGGTTGGTTAGGGATGTGAGGGGGGAAGGATGATTTGGAGTCTGGGGCCCAGGACCCACGCTCCCTCCCTGGATGCTTCGGGGCGGATGTGGAACCGTGGGTTGTTGCGGTCTCTGTAGAGCCGCGGGATGGAGCGGGGTTCGTCTGTGCTGAGGTAAGCGCCTGCTCGCAGCGTCTTGTTCATCCTTCAGAGAAAAGTCCCCAAAGCAAACAGCCGATTTATATTGAGAAAAAATGTTTGCTTGAGGAACAGGTTGTCTCTCTCTTCGGATATCGGAGCGGTTTTCAGCAGCTGTGATGGTCTCTGGGAAAAAAAATAGAAAAGTTTGGTAAAGATTTTTTTTTTCCCAACCTGTTTTCATTTTCTTTCTAACTAAGACTATGGTGGGAATTAACAGGTTAACTTCAGCCACTGTGATCATAATATTGATAAACTGCAATCGAAAAAATAATTGAACATACTTCTCTAAAGCAAACCTTGAGAAGTTGGTTAAAAATAGTTGTAGCAAAATATTTTGTGAAAGGAGCATAATTTTCTACCAAAACTCGTGTGGTCTCCTTCAGCTATTCCCACCTTTGCTGTCTTCCACTTTGATTTCAGCCTGGCCCTGCTGTTCTGTCCCCTGAGCCTCTTGCTGTCTGTCTTCAACGGGCCCAGTCTCATCTTCTGTTATAATTTCGGTTTTAATGTCTGAAAATTAATGATAAAAACATTTATACACGATCACTCAGGGTCTAAGAACTTATTTTTATAATACTACCAATCAGAATCTTATTTGAATGAATTTTAGTTCTGAAGCAACAGAATAAGTGTACTGCGGTACTAAATATTCTAATAACCATTTGTGTTTCTCTCAAACGTCTCCTATGGCTTGCTCCCCTCCTCAGACATCAGGCTCGATCTTTGCACATCATCGTGACCGGGGTCTGAAGTTTGTTGACTTTCGAAGTACTCGGTTTCTGCTCCAGATTCCTCTTCCTCATAGTAGCTGCCAGAATCAGTTCCATCATCTTCCTGTTGAGTGTTATCACTGCCATCATCCGAATCATCATCATCATCATCATCATCATCATCATCATCATCATCATCACCACCACCTCCGAGGTCTTGATCTACAAATAAACAAAACAACATTGCAATTTTGATCCCTTCACTGAAGAGTGATTTCCAAACTACAGTCTCACTCCAGAGCACGATCAAACAGGTGATTCTATGAATGAAATATATGATTATATGTTATTAAAAACTAAGAATCTTTTTTTTTTTTTTTTTTCTTACCTCTTTGAGTTTTAAAAGTTGACGGGTCAGATCTTTCAATTGGAATTGATCTGTCTGTGAGGAAGAAAAAAAAAAGTTATAAATTTTTAGCTTGTGTGTGTATATATATATATATATTTAATTTAATTCATAAATTCAGGACACAGGACTAAGATAAAAAAGTAAATTTTTTGAGCTTACCCACTCTCTCTATACTCGCAGTATTTTTGTTTTGTTGATTTTCTCCACCACTTCTTGCTTCCACTATAATTTCATCCTGGACAACAGCTTCCGTCACGTCCGGTTCCACGCTGTGTTGGACCCCTCGCTCCGGAGACTGGCAGATTTGAACAGCCTGATAGTTGGCTGTCAGTGGCTGGTGAGAGAGGACGCCCTGCTCGGATATCTGCTGATGAGGTGAGAGAGCTGGTTGGCTGACGGGCCGAGAGCCGGGGTGCTGTAGAGTTGAACGGACGGTTGATGAAGGATCGGATGTAAGGAGAGGGGAAGAATGATTGGGAGTCGGACCGCCTGGATGGTTAGCCGCAAGGGGAGCAGGAGAGCCGCCCCTCAGGTTGGTTAGGGATGTGAGGGGCCCAGGACCCACGCTCCCTCCCTGGATGCTTCGGGGCGGGTGTGGAACCGTGGGTTGTTGCGGTCTCTGTAGAGCCGCAGGATGGAGCGGGGTTCGTCTGTGCTGAGGTAAGCGCCTGCTCGCAGCGTCTTGTTCATCCTTCAGAGAAAAGTCCCCGAAATAAACAGCCGATTTATATTGAGAAAAAATGTTTGCTTGAGGAACAGGTTGTCTCTCTCTTCGGATATTGGAGCGGTTTTCAGCAGCTGTGATGGTCTCTGGGAAAAAAATAGAAAAGTTTGGTAAAGATTTTTTTTTCCCAACCTGTTTTAATTTTCTTTCCAACTAAGACTATGGTGGGAATTAACAGGTTAACTTCAGTCACTGTTATCTGCCCTTAAAAAAGAAATTAAGTAAATAAAAAATGTTTGCATTTAAATTTAATAATGTAGAAAATAGAATACTTACTTCGCATCATGGTGGAGAGGCGTCCATCTGAAACAGTGAAAGGATGAAAATAGAGACCTGTGGGCATACTTTCTTCTGTAGGGGTAGTGGGGAGCATACCCCTGCAACTCCGAGCTGTAAATTTAGATATTGTTTAGATAATACTAAAGGCATGGGGTGTCTGTTTTTTAAATAAAAGTTCCGGGGGTATATATTCAAAACTGTCTTTTTTAGAATGCGGGAAACGAGCCGGCATGTGGTTATAAAATATGCAAATTTTCTCTGAGTCAAGGGTGGTTCTGTTGGGTTGGGTGTAAGGTAAAAAGGTGAAAAGTAATGTTTATTTAACCGTGTGGGTGGGTCTGGAGAACTCTTTATTGCCCAGGATGCGGAAGAGCTGGTTTATGTTTTTAAGAATGATGCTAGATGGTTGGGGTCCGTCAATGCATGTGTGTATATTGTCTCTTTTATAACCCTTTAAAGCAGTGGTTCCCAAAGATTTTCTTCTGGGCCCCCCTTTGGATCACATCGTTCAACCAGATATAATAAATCTATACACATATTTTGTTTTCAAACTCCACTGAAGTTTATTTCACACTTCAGGTTGCAACAAAACAAACTACACCATCTTTACAGTGGAACAATTTTGTGTAACTGTATTTTTTTCATAGTTCTATAATGTAGATTAGAAGAGGATTCTTTGTTGTCTGTGTCATTTTAAACATATTTCTTTTTTTTTATTCGTAACAATATTTAACTTTTCTATAATCTATACATTAAAAAAGCCTCTGTGCAAAATGGAGTGAAAACATTTAACAGCTCCCTGAGAGTTTCTTTGTACTTTAATCCTCCCACCTTTTCAGTGGCTGTAGTGAGCCTGCTTTTTGCTGTAGATCTTCTCAAATCTGGTTTGCAGTGTCACAACTGTCCATTATGCTCAGTCAAGCAAGCGCTGTTTTTTTCTTTTTTTTTTCTCCTTCATTCATCCATACCGCTTCCCGCGCCCCCCCCTGCAATGGCATTGCGCCCCCCCTAGGGGGCGCGCCCCACACTTTGGGAACCACTGCTTTAAAGGATTATAAATAGCACGTTGTTTAGCTACAAAAAGTTGATTGATGAGGAAAAATGTGGGTCTGTGAATCAATAAACAGGCATAGAATTGTTTAAACACATTTTAAAGCCTAATTTGATGGAAATGTGTGTTAGTATCAAAAGCTGTCCTAGGAGGGGAAAGCTTGTGGATGTGTGTGCAGGCAGAGGTTAAGCTGGGAAACTGTCATATAATTGGCATACTTCCTCTGAGTTGAGGGAGGAAGGGCGACTGTGTCTGACTTTTTATGACCGTTTCTTGATGCATTAGGTATTTAGGAAGGTTTCTGGGGGCAGTTCAAATAGCAGCTTGAATGGTGACAGTAAATTCATTTAGAAAAATACAAAGAAGCTTGATGAAAGGATATCAACAATTAACTTAAAGCAGGTTTTGTGGATAGAAAAGTTAGCAAGTTAGTTTGATTTAAGAAAGGAAACTTACAAGCAATTCAAGTTGTATTTGTGAGTAACACATTTTTTGAGCATAGCGTGATTTGTAAAACCTTGATGCACAGGCTTTAATGTTGAATTAAAGATTGGTCTTAACATGTTTCAAAGCTCTATTGATGACACTAAAAATATTTAGAAAAGTTAAAATATGCTTGATGAAAAGATATCTGTATTTTAAATAAAATAAGATTTGTGAATGGAAAAAAGGTTTAGATTAGTTTAAACACATTTTAAACACTCATTGGAGAACATTTGAGACCTCACTCACACTCAGAAGGTGGAAGGGGTGGGTCTGTCTGTGTGTGTGTGTGTGTGTGTGTGGATGGACGGGGGGAGGGAATTGTGCTTGTGTGGGAGGTGTCTTTTTTTTATTACCCTGCAAAGGAGAAATGTGGTTGAGAAGCTGGCATATCTTTTTGAATGGGAAGAAAATCATTGTAATATACAAAAAAATTTGATTGATGAAGCAAAATGTTATGGTGCGTGTCTGTGCAGAAGTTTGTGGGTTATAAAGGTTCATAAGCCAAACATTTCATAATATTCATAAACTGCAATCGAAAACATAATTGAACAGACTTCTCTATAGTAAACCTTGAGAAGTTGGTTAAAAATAGTTATAATACCAAAACTCGTGTGGGCTCCTTCAGCTATTCCCACCTTTGCTGTCTTCCACTTTGATTTCAGCCTGGCCCTGCTGTTCTGACCCCTGAGCCTCTTGCTGTCTGTCTTCAACGGGCCCAGTCTCATCTTCTGTTATAATTTCGGTTTTAATGTCTGAAAATTAATGATAAAAACATTTATACACGATCACTCAGGGTCTAAGAACTTATTTTTATAATACTACCAATCAGAATCTTATTTAAATGAATTTTAGTTCTGAAGCAACAGAATAAGTGTACTGCGGTACTAAATATTCTAATAACCATTTGTGTTTCCCTCAAACGTCGCCTCTGGCTTGCTCCCCTCCTCAGACATCACGCTCAATCTTTGCACATCATCATGACCGGGGTCTGAGGTTTGTTGACTTTCGAACTGCTCGGTTTCTGCTCCAGATTCCTCTTCCTCATAGTAGCTGCCAGAATCACTTCCATCATCTTCCTGTTGAGTGTTATCACCGCCATCATCCGAATCATCATCATCATCATCATCACCACCACCACCTCCGAGGTCTTGATCTACAAATAAACAAAACGACATTGCAATTTTGATCCCTTCCCTGAAGAGTGATTTCCAAACTACAGTCTCACTCCAGAGCATGATCAAACAGGTGATTCTATGAATGAAATAAAAAACTTAGAGTGTATTTTAATACTGATTTACATAACATATTAACCCAAACTGATGGCCTTTAGGTGAACCAGTACCAGTTAAGAGCCAAAGCAATGTGTCATACATAAAGTTTGAAGAATGTCAGTCATAAGACTAATATAAACAACCAAAAGGGTATCACTTGTGTATCATATAGAGAGGTTACATTTAATGTACAGTATCCATGACTTTAAAATGCAGCATATTACCTTGCTGTTCTTGAACATCCTCTTCCTCTTGGGTTTCATCGCCATATTCCTCCTGCCCACTTTGCTCTGAGGTATCCGCCTCAGCTTCAGCCTCCAGAGCAGCGTTCAGCCTCTTTATCAGGTCTCCCCTCTGGCCTTTCATATCAAGGCCGCGGCGCTGGAGCTCCCTCTTCAACTCATTCACTTGCCGTTTTTTCCCGTCTAAACTCATGCTTGGTCCGTGTGTTATCTGTAGGTTTAGTAGTCTTTCTTGAATAGCAGAGCAAGAAACAAAGACACACCAACGGTTAACCAAAGTTTCACACTACTGCTTCTGTCTTCACAAAAGAGACGTCCCTAAATATGCACAGTAAAATCTCTCGCATACATATTTTTTATGGCATTGTATCATTGTAAAGCTCCATTGTACGGACTACAGTAAAGTTGGCAACATATTCACAGATTCGGCTTTGCGGATTAATAACTCGTCCGCGGATAATTAATTCTACAAAACAGATTTTTCTTTTTTATTACAAGCATGTAATAGCCAATAATTACACTGTTGATCACTGTAGTGCCACCAAACTTGTAGGATACATGGATAACCTCATCTGGTTTTCTGTTATATGCTTATAATAACAAAGATGAATCTCAAAAAATAGAGTTTAGAACATATTCCCAAAGTAAGAGTTGTAGTATGATCCAGATGAGGTAATCTATGTGTGCTACAAGTTTGGTGGCACAACAATGATCCATAGTGTAGTCATAGCACATTTTATACTTATTGCAATAATAAAATAGAGGTTCCATTTGTCATTAAGGCTTTGGGAAAGTACTCAAAAATTATTAATTTAAAATCCAATAAATGTGGTATGAAAGAGATGAGATACACATGAAATGAATTTGACAATAATCCACCTCTCCTTTGTGACGCTTTTGAATATTTCTCTCTGATTATTACTGTACCGCTCCCCGTACAGTTCCGCATTCAATATAAAATTATCATGGTGACATTCAAGGCACTTCACCACCTTGCCCCTAACCTGACAACAGCCAGATGCATGTCTCGCTCCGCCTAGCTCCACGAGTGGAGCTAGACGAGTTATTAATCCAGAAGAGCCGAATCTGTGAATATGTTGCCAACTTTACAGCAGTATTGTACGGCTGAGGAGGTAAACTTTCACAGCCTTTCATGTTCACATTTGCTATCCTCTCTGAGACTATTTTTTCATGTAAATGTTTGTTGACTTAATAAAAAAATAAAAACTTTTTCAGCATTGCATCAACAGATGCAAAACCTTTTACACTGATAACATATATCACTTTCTTTTTTATATAGAGTATGCAGTTACGGTGTCGTATATATGAATTGTAATGCAGTCTTGAAATGGAATATGATGAAAAATAAAGCTGAAGCTTACCTTCCTTAGAGCTGAGCGTGTAGTTCTCGTAGGAATATATTGCAGGCGCGTTCTTCATCTTATAGGTCTTCTTCTTCTTCTTCTTTTGTTAAATGGCGGTTGGCAAGTAACCTCTAGGTGCGCATTGCCGCCACCTACTGTTCATGAGTGTGTAGCAACATTATTTTACATCTATCAAATGCATTTTATTTTTAAATTTTGTATTCTGAAGATAAATAAATAATGCGAGACTTAATCTGTAAATGTCCTTATATTTCCTTAATTTTCAATATTTCTTTAAAACTCCATTCTTGGCCTGTCCTTCCAACCATTTTTCTCAATTTCTCCCCTTCAGGTAAAAACGTTTTATAGTTCATCAGTACATGTTCTCCATTTTCGTTTTCTCAACATCCTTAACATTTAATATTATTTGTCCTCCCTATTAATTATAACATTTCATAGGTAGATCCACTTTTCATTTAAATAGGTATGATTCATCCTTTATAACTTATTCCCTTCAGGTCTCTCAAATATTTCTGTTGAATACTGACTTTTCTACTTTATATAATCCTCTTCCTTTCTTATCTTCATTCCACCTTTTTTTTGTTGCCATTTTCCATTTCTTTACTCTTAATAAGTGATATACCTTCCTCTTTCCCAAAAGGAATTGTAATTGTTATTGCCCCCTCTAAAGACCTTTTTGCTGATATACGCATCTGCCTTTTCATTACCCATATACAATCTAAATAGACTGCTAAAATTCTAATATATCTAATCTTTTTCTATAATTTCCTCCTCCCTGAATACTTTCTAAAACTGCTTTGGAATCTGTACATACCACCACCCTGATTGGTCTAACCTCCTCTACCCATTGTAAGCTTAGTATAACTGCTACCATTTCTGCTGTGAAAACAGACAGTTGATCTGATATTCTTTTAGAAATGCATATTTTAAACTCTGGTATATGTATTCCTATTCCCACACGTCCTTTTAAATTCTTAGAACCATCTGAAACTATTTTAACATAATTATAATATGAGTTTTCTTATATATATATATATATATATATATATATATATATATATATATATATATATATATATATATATATATATATATATATATATATATATATATATATCGGTCTTTATCCGTATTTCATTTAAATTCCAACAATCCTTTTTCATTTTAAGCAGTCTCATGGCTACATTTACCTCAGGGAATAGCCATGGAAGAATAAGACTAATCAGATTAAACTGAGCTATTTTCTTATCAAGAGTCAAGTCAAGAGGTTTAACATTTTGCAAAGGACAGCTATGCAACCCATTCTCTGTCTCACGTTCCGTTGACCGAGCATCAAGTGCCCAAGTTCACAGCTTGAGCTCTAAGGAGAATCAGTCTGCCTTGTGTCATCAAAGGTTAGCTCAAACCCCCCCATCAATTAATGAGCAGAACCAACTTCCTGATGGGTCAGGTCCGCCGAGTGACCATAGGATTCAACAAATTGAATCCTTGGCCAACGACCTTGGTATTTTCGACCCAGAAAGTCAATACTCCAACATAACTGATTATCTGCAAGAAGTTGAGCACTGTCTAAAAGACTTGCCATTTCCTTCTTCTCGAGAGAAATTGAAGCTGATTTGGAAAACAACAGCTAGAAGCATCCATGTTTTCATAAAATCACTTCATCCAAAAATCAAAGAAAGTTATTCAGCTCTTTGTCAAGTTTATTTTGAGGGCTACAGTTCTCTAGATATTGACGAAGAAGATCACACATTTAAAGCATTGTTCATTCAAAATCTACATAAAAATGTACGATATGATGTAGCAATGCATTGCAGGATAGGAAACCTTTCTATGCAGGAAACTCGCAGATATGCTCAGCTTGTTTGGGAAATATGTCTCAAATCAGATAGACAGCTTTAATCTTAATCCTGAGCATCTTTTTTATTGTTTCAGTGGCAGTCAAGATGGTGTGATTCGAATCTGCTTGAATTTCTTTCATGTCTAAAAACCTTCCAGCTGCTTTTACAATTGCTTTTATTTTATCACTTTTCTTCATTTGTACTGTAACAATAATATGGCACATAAACGCTGAATAAAAGTTTTTTTTTTCCACCACCATTGTATTTTCATCACTCTACTTGAATGCAAACATGCATTTTGAATATTTGTCTCTGATAATTCTGCCCTTGCTTCGTATTCCAAGTTTTGTTTCTTTGACTTGTTTCTTTCCTTACTCTCTTTAGAGCTTCAGTGTATGAAACTGTTATTTTGATTCTTTGAGCTTCTCTTGCTTCCCTTTGTACTTTACATCCACCGCATGCTGAGCTGTGTTCTCATCTGCAGTTTCATCTTTATCACATTTTCCATATTCATGTGGACCTCCACATCTTTTACCTAACTTTTCCCTTGCATTCCTTTGAAGTGTGTCCCATTATTTGGCAAGTAAAACATCTGAGGGGTTTAGGGATGCAATCTCTAACTCTGTAGTTAATACATCCCAGTTGGATATTTTCTGGCCTAATGTTTTCAAATTTTGAAACACTGCCATGGTATCTTTAAGTTTCCCATCTCTTTCTTTTTATCAGTGGCATCTTTTAGTTTCCCTTTATTTTTATTTTATTCAGATTCTCCATTTTCATTTGAAGTGGAACTCCAAAAACTACTGCTCTCAGCCTTACTAAAGTGGCAGCCTAGAGGTTAGCGCATAGAGCTTGGAATCCTGGGGTTGTGAGTTTGAAACCCACTCCCACAGACTTCCACTCTGGCTCTCTAAGCAAGACCCTTAACACCCAATTGCGGCTGTTAAAATGACAACCCAGTGACTGGGTTGAAAACAATAGAAAGCGTATAGGCAGAAGAAACGTAACAGTACCACAAAAAAATGGCCATTAATGTACCTCCACTACATTTTGCAGTGTGGACCAACGTAGTGGGGGTACATTTTCCCATGAGACTGGGTTTGAAAATGAGGAGGATTTGTCCCCTTGGAAGGAAGGCTGTAGCGCCCGGGGGGCCTCCTCACTGGTTCTTTTCCTGGGAGCAAGTTATTTACTACTCTTAACTCAAACTGGGTAAAACCATATAAAAAGGACTATAAAAACAGGAGTAAAAAAGTAACAGAGTTTATTCCAGATCAGGTCGTTACAGGACAGAGAAAAATGCTTAGAGCTTGCACAGCTGTGGTCTCAAAAATCACGTCCGCGAGCATCCGGCAAAGTTTGAGCCCCGAACAACGTCATCTCCTGCTTCTTATACCTTCTGAGTCAGTGTTGCATCATGTGGATGCTTAGCTGTCCGTATCAGAAACTGACACACCATCTATGTCTTGAACTCCATGCAGCTTACTTCTATGCTTTAGGGTTACAGAAAGCTATCCTCTATCAGACCGGCTCCAAGATGTGCCCATATCCTGTGTATTCTTAAAGACACGAAGGCTGTCCTGATTAGATGACCTCCGTACACAGTGACATCCACAAGGTGAAGGAAGGCCTTCTGCTCTGTCTAATCTGACTAACAAATTAACAATGCACATGATGTGTAAAGGAATAAACCTAACACACCCCATGATGACAGCCCACTTCTCCCCAAGGGGATGGGTTAAATGTAGAGGTAAATTTCTCCAATGAGAGATCAATAAAATTAAATTATTATTAAAGATCCTGGAATATGTGTTTTAATTCTTTCCCCCATCAGGGTTTTCATTAGGATGATTTTCTGTTGTAGATCGCATCAGTGGGCCCGCCCATAGACACTATGTACATACACTCACTGGCCACTTTATTAGGTACCCCATGCTAGTAACGGGTTGGACCCCCTTTTGCCTTCAGAACTGCCTCAATTCTCCGTGGCATAGATTCAACAAG